ACATGGTTAATAATTTCGACTTTTCAGAACAACATGTGATATCAAGTAATTTTTCATCAAAATGCCAGGAAAGCTTCAGCTTAAAAGTTAAAATTACGAAGTTTTACGGTACAAATTGCTAAAACTACACGGCTCACACAATTTTGACTTCTTTTTGCAAAATAATGTTTAATATCAAGCAGTATTTCGCAAAAATTTTAAGGATGCAGTTTGAAAGTTAAAATCAAGGAGGATACGTTAACCCCTCAAGGTGGTACAAGAAACAAGCGTCGGTTTCAATGCGCGAGTGTCTGAACTTTCCGACACAATTGAGTTCTCTTTCTTTCCACTTGCGCGAGCAATTAAATGATATTTCAATTCGATACACACGTACAGTCCGTGTCACGACAGATTTCTAAGAAATACGCTTCGCAGGACGACTGTCTTAGATATATCCGTCGCATCCACAGTGATGCGCGAGGTGCCTTGTTCTATCGTAATATGTCATACGATAAATATGCGATATGACGTTTCTCCCGCACGGCGAAATACGCTTTACCGTATCAAACGGGATCACGTCGGAGAATAAGCTCGCGACAAGGCCATCGGTATTTCCTGCAAGACAGAGCGGGGGCGCGACGTCGAGGGGGTGGAATGCGAGTCAAAAATAACGTATTTCTCCACGTATCGACTCGTGAAAAGAGACGGATATGCGCCGGAGAGGAAAGGCATGCGAATGCCTCTGCTGATGGCGAAAAGGAAAGGCACGATCGTATTGTCAAAGGCGATTCGCGGTCCTCATCGCGACGGAATGAAAAACCTCGCTCGAAGAAGCTAATGATGCTCGAATGTCAGCCCTTTCGCTTAGAGCGCGAGTAGCTTCAGATTCGTGTCGCATTCTTTGAGACGTTTAACCATTCAAGAAATCAAGCAAATATAAAAGGGTTCGCACAATGGAGATAATTACTCACGTAATTAATTGACAAATCAATCATTGTCCAAAGGACGGGAGATTGGAACAAATATTTAAACAAAGCCACGCAGGAAATTTATTCCCTCTTTACCCTTTCTTTTCCACTTTTGCTCTACGTTCTTCTCTCACGTTCCAATTCTCTGACTCGTCAGGTTCATTCAAATTTTTACGTTCTTACAGAGTAAATTGTTATTGATCGTGTTTATTTATCTTTTTACCCGTTTTTCCCTTCTCCTTCTTTCTCCATCTCTCTCCCTTTATGTTTTAATGTCCCAATTTCTCGTTCCATTTTTACAGAATATTAAAGAATGTACCTTAGACTGATGATATAGTCACTCTTATTTGTCTTATTCTATCCCCCTCTATCTCTACGTTTTAATTTTCTATTTCTCATTCTAATTTCTACGTGGAAGATGAACTCTAAAATACTAACAAACGAACGCCTTTACTAGAGATGTGCGAATCAAAAATTTGTTATGTCGAATCGAATATATGGAAATTTCATTCGAATTCGAATCGAATCGAATAAAATCGAATCGAATCGTTAAAAAATTTAACATGACTATTAAACATGCAAATAATGATGGAAAATTTTAATATAAAAGGGAATATTGATATTGTAATATCATCTTAAAGTAAATTATATATTTAAATATTTAAAGTAATTTATAAGTTATTAAGTTATTAATTATAAGTTAAGGGTTCAAACATACAGGCCCAGTTGGCTCGTTTGGTAGCTTTCGTATTCGAATCTTCGCGATTCGAAATTTTCGAATTATTCGGATTCGAGTCATAAGGATTCGGATTCGGATTCGAATCGAATCGAATTACATTAGATGCGATTCGATGCGAATTCGAATAGTTCGCACATCTCTAACCTTTACCCATCTCTCTCCGTCTCCCTCGCTCTGCCTTTCCCCGCATTTAATGATCCATTTTTAAAACAATGAGGGAATGGTCTCTGATCCGCCGGTTTCTTTGAGATACACTCAGCAGCAGATACATTCGGCCGTTTCTCTTGTTCGTGAGAAAAATGCGGGTAGTTTGCGAGGTAGTTGCACATTCTCGCCGGGGAAGGGGAGGGGGTGAGATGGTAAACCTACTTTAACGAGCACGTCTAATACACGTTACTGATTGATCGATCCTTAGTTCCGCTCCTGTTCCCGAACAGCTCGCCGGAAAATTGCGAGGGGCCGCGCTCGCTAACGAGTGACCTCAACCGAGTCTCAAGAATAATTTTTGCGTTCCAGTTTATGCTAAAGCCATCCCGTTCGGACGATGTGGTTGACGCCCACCCGTGATATCGAATTCGTCTCGTTGCGATGCAAGATGTCATTGGCTCTCACGTGCACGAAGGCACAAAAGCGAACGCTGTTGTGTACGCGACGCTTGACGCCGAGATCAGTCGTCTGCTTCCAATTATTCGTACAATTAAGCTTGAGAGACCAATGGTGGGCGGAGAACGGTGCGGAGGGGAGGAGAGGAGAGGAGAGATGAGTTCACTGCCACTCTCGCGACGCGCTTTGTCGAGTAATTAATGCCGGTGAGATCAGACGCCGGACGAAAATTCGACGGCACGGAAAGAACATGGCTCTCTGTCGTAATGTGGGCGAGAAGGCACAGACAGAGATAGAGGAAAACAGAGAGAGAGAGAGAGAGAGAGAGAGAGAGAGAGAGAGAGAAATAGAGAGACTTTGGCACACAAAGACGCGCGAGATTCGCCCGATTCACCGCAAAGCGGAGTTATCTTATCCGACGCGGGGATTAATTTTGTGGAAATTTCGACGTGGTTCCCGCGCGAGATAAACGAGACATCATGGCGTTCTCGCGCTCACGCTCGCGCTCCGAATGGCGAGAGGGCTGTTAGCGTGTCGCTACAATGGCACCGGACGATACGTTGTTAAACCTCCGAAAGCGCGCGCGCGCACGGCGTCAGGTTCGACGGGTTGCGCGAGCGGGAGAGAGAGAAAGAGAGAGAGAGAGATAGAGGAGGGGGGAGAGGAAGAGAGATAGAAGAAAGAAAGAAAAAGAGAGAACACTCGCCATTAGTCTCTCCCGAAAGGAGTGCTTTCGTGCGAGAAGCGGACGAAAACGGCCCCGTGCCATTCTTGAATGTCCAATTAGGGTAAAAGGCGCGAAGGAAGGTAGACGAGTGGCCGACGAACAAATGTACTTCTCCTTCCTCCCGTCCCCAACGACCCACGGCGTCTCCTGCTCCCTTTTGGAAGGAAGCACTCGAAAATAATACCTCGCCATTCTTCCACGAGCCCCTACCGGCGAATCCGCGATTCGCTCGCGAAGCTCAGCCCAGATCCCGATCGCGCGCGCGGGGGTTGATGTCAGCAGATTCGATATTAACTGACATTAACACAACCGGGGTGTCGATTGTACTTAGACTTAGATTGTATTACTTAGACGAGCCGAAACAGCGGCGTATTCACCGGGAGGCATAATTCGCTTGTGGTCTGCCGATACACGCCGGAAAACAGGATTGATTCGCTGCAGCTCTGATTAAAATCCGATTTAAATGTGCTCGCGCAATCCCTCTCTCTCTCTCTCTCTCTCTCTTGCTCTCTTGCCGAGATCGGTCGCGAGTGCAGGGTAATGAGATATTTAGAGCCGAGAGCCGCCTGCACCTTATTTAGATCGGCTGCAAATTGCATCGCGATATTAAAAGCCGGCGGATCCGTTCGCAGTCTAATCCGGAGGGTCTGTGTTGCAAATTACCTCGCCGAGATATTAGAGGCCGGCATCTGCCTACGCAACCACCTCCTCCGTCTGCTTCTCCCCTGACACCGTTTCCATCTCCGTCTCCTCCGGGCCGACCGAGAATTTATCGAAACGTTAAAAGCCAAGATCCGCTTACAGTCTCGCCTAAACCGACTGCAAATTTGTCGGGCCATTAAAAGCCGAGATCCGCTTACGAAGCGGTACGTTCGGACGCGATCGCAAATTGTATCAGTGCATTAAACGGCTGAGATCCGCTTGTAATCTTGTGGTCAGGACCGGTCAGTGATCAAAATCGCGACGTCTTAACCCTTTCGCCGCGACTCGGCTGGTCGCGAAACTCGAGCGTTGTAAGCACTTCGCCACGCGTTATTGTACATGTTTTGTTTCTCATGTATGCCTCGTCAACTGAGGTTACTCGCACGATGTTTGACCTTATATTTGCGTAAGGTTGAACATTGTGGAAGTCATCTTGGCTAAGGCATGACGCAACGCCGATCTGTATTAGTAACAGTTAATTAATGATAGTTATATTTATAACGTTAAGAAAAGCGAACAAATCGTTGCTTAGCAACGTTGTGTCGTCAATATAAGTTACAGAAGAGACCTTGATGACGTTCTGTCCACAGAAATAGTAATAAAAGAAATTAGCAAAAAAGCCACTGCGCAGTGGTATTTCCTGTTCTAAAAAAGAGATTAACGGGAGGTCATTACAGTGGCGTAAAAGTTTAACTATGAAACAGAAAAAGTTTAAGTATGAAGAGAGAAGTGGGAGAGTGTGAAGCGCAATAGCTGATAAATTGATAAAATTTGTATTTACTATCTCACGAGAGAAAGAGAATACTGCTGTGCCCAGCAACAACAAGCTGAGCACCGGCTTTCGATACAAGTCATATAGAAGAGATTCTCATTATAGCGGCTTTCAATCCTTCAAAATTGTTTGATAGAAAACCACTGCAGAGTCTCGCCCAAAGTCATAATATTATAGTCGCGTTTCGTCAAAACAAAAGATCGTTTAACAGAAATCCATTGTGGTAACATTTTGTCCTTGAAAAATCGTTCAGTGGGAGGCTGCTACAATGACATTTCATTGAACAGAATCGTTCAGCGAGAAAGCAATATAGCGGCTAGGAAAGTCGCTCGAAAGGAAGCCATCAAACGTCGTTACGTCCACAAAAGTTCCTCGACAGTGTTGAAAACACTATAGCAGCGTTTCATCTTAGAAAAAAAAGTAATCCCATAAGAAGCTACTATAACGGTGTTTCGTCCTAAAGAACCGTGCGTACACACGTGCGAGAAAAAGAACGAGAAAACCACTTACCGATACAGCATTCGTTCCTGACGATCCGCCTCGCGGTAGATCCTGTAGTACATCGCGATCATGATGATGCCGGGCACCCAGAAGCTGATGCTTGAGCTGACGACCGCGTAGAACTTGTTGACCTGGAACACGCACACGTCCGGGTAGTTGCGCCGGTACTCGAGGTGTTCCTGCGTGGTGTACCAGCCGGCGAAGATCGGCAAGAAACTCATGACGGTGGGCGAGCACCACACGACGCTCAGCATCGTGCCGAGGCGCAGGTTCGTCATGATGAGCGGATAATCGAGCGGCTGCACGATCGCGTAGTAACGGTCCACGCTGATGCAGCACAGATGGAGGATCGAGACCGTGCTGAAGAACACGTCGAGCGAGTTCCACACGTCGCACATGAAGTAACCGAAGAGCCACCGGCCGCCCGACAGCTCGACCGACGCGTTGAACGTCATCGCGAACAGCGCGACCAACATGTCGGCCAACGCGAGCGACACGACGAAGTAGTTGGTGATGACGCGCAGCTTCCGGTGCCGCATCACCGACACGATCACCAGCAGGTTGCCGAAGAGGGCGCAAAGGATGATGAAGCCCATGACGAGCGCCTTGACGGTCAGCAGTAACACGTACTCGATCTCGCGCTGCTCCTCGGTGACGTTGCCGCGTTGGCCGGTGTCGTCGAGCAGCAGCTCGCCGAGCAGACTGGTCGCCGCTGTCGCGTTGCCCAACGTCTCCTCCTCCAACAGCGTCGTCTGGTTGAAGCGCATCTTGAAGAGTCGGCCGGAGGCCGTGGAAGCGCTTCCACGACGCTCCCTCCGCTGGAGGACAACCACTGGCTACCGTCCCCAACGACAATCGGCTACTTCTTCGTCTTCTTCCTCGTCATCGGCGCGGACGGCGAAGGCTGGCCGTCGGGCCATCGAAGACACGTTTCCCTCGCGAGGTTACGACTCGACCCGGCCGACGTCGTGCGTGTTTGTCATGTCGATGACGCTGTTGGTGTCGTGACGATGAACGGTCTTCAGCAGGGTGCACGAGTGCTGTCGCTGCCGTGAAGTCCCACAGGGTGTCGGTTGGCTCACGAAGACTTCGCTCAGAGTGACGTGCAGCCGGCGCGTCGAGGAGATCCGCGATGCAGGGGTTGGCTGCGAACGCATCTCGGATGCTGAACCCCGCAAACGAGTGATCGGTGTTGTCTGCTTCGAGCGAGTACCTCGGTTGGCAATAATAATAGCAGTTGGCTACTTGACTAGGCGTTTCGTATACTTGATTCTTGAGCTAAGCTGATTGTCCGTCGGTCGCGTGGGCCGCACTCGCGGCTGCAGAGTCCGTTGAATTCTCTTCTGGCTGCGCTTCTCGGAGCTGAGGAGGCGAAGTTCTCCGCGCGATGGACGACCTGCGGATCGAACAAGGTCGTAAGTCTTGGGAGCAACGAAGGTTTCGTACTTTTTCTTCGTTCGTTTTTCTTCATTTACAGACGATATGAGATTGCTCTTCCTTATTCTCTCCTTCATGTTTATTTCCTATCTTCTTGCCTTGACTTTAATTCAAAGTTTTTTCGTTTATGATAACGATATGATTAAATCTTGAAAATGAGATGAATGAATGTCACGCGGACTGTTTTGATTTTAATATAATATTTTAAATTAGGATAGAAGGGGTTGTGGCCTACTCGAGTTCTCCGTACAGAGAGAGTCGACTAGTTGAATTAACATGGCAATGAGCGAACTAAGCGCGTTTTAACTAAAGTAGAAATAGAATCTCTGGTTCTCGGAACTGTTGTTTCATAAAAAGCGGAAATTCTATCTCCTTTAACTTTAAACCGAGATCGATTCGTGCAATTTTGTCACGTTAACTCAACTAAATTTTTCTTCATTCAAATGATATAATATTTCTTTTCCCTTTTCTCCCCTTAAAAACATTTATTTCTTGCATTTTTTTCTTCATTTTAACAATATAATGTTTCACTTTTGTACTTCTTTTCTCGGTATTTCTTATTATTCCTTTTCTATTTTCTTCTCTTTATTTTAACAGTATATTTCTTCACTTAGATGAAATAATCAGATTTTAAATATCAAATATAAAATTCCGCGGGTTCTTTTGCGTGATACAAAATTAAAAATTAAGATCAGTCTACTTGCCGAGGCCGATAAATTAATGATTTGATTTGAAATAAAAATTTCATTAATTTTATTATTGATAGAAACGTGTATTGGTATAAATTATGCTTTACCTCCTTTAACGCTCCTTAATCGAAGTTAGTTAATTAAGAATTGAATGGCGTCTCCGTGAACAATAAGCCCGAGATATCAATTTCAATAATTTCATTGTTACAAGAAACATGCGCGCGTCTTTACTGATTCTACGTGGCAACGCGTAACTTCTCTAAAGGTCGGTTAATTAAAAATCGACGAGCGGTATCTCGACATCGGCTTTTCGGCCGTGTCGCCTGGCTTCGAATTAATCTCGAAACGTGACGTTCCGCCTTGTCATTTAAATTTCACTAATACCCGCATCAAAATTTCACACAAACATCCCATGTCCAGCATAAATTCCGATAGGAATGATAAAATTTGTTTCGAAATCGATTATGGTGTTACAATATCAATCACGAATTCTGTTCTGCTAGCGAGATTTTCTATCTGGAATCAACGAAACAACTGGACTTTCGCGCTTTTCTTATCTCAATTTTATTCCAGCTATTAAATTTAATGAAATAAAAAATAAACGTTAATACACACGTGTTGATCGCAATATTCCTTAATTGTTACACATTGAGTAACATTAATAACGAAGAAATATTGCTTTTTATTAATATAATTATGAAAAATATAAATTTGGATGAAAATTATTTTAAATAATATTATAAAATTAACATTCAATTAAATTATCGTGTAATTGGTTTCAAGTAATAGACAACAGCAATAATTCTAAATTTCTTTCATCAATGTGACAAAAATATAAGATAAATGTTCAACTTTTTCCACGTTTAATCTTGGAAATAAAAAAAAACCACGGAAGAACGCGAAAAATAGAAAGTGATCCGTTCGGATTTAAAATCCATTTAGGATCGCTCTATCATATCACACACTTTTAATTTAAATCCTCGTAGATCCCCCAGTCGGAACCCATAATTTTTTTTTCTAAAAATCAGACTGGAGCAATCCGCATTAAATCTCAGAATACTTCTCGCATATGTGTATTCATGAATTACTCTGAACGTCCGACTGAATCACAAATGGCCTTCTGCTTTTCAAATGCTCGAAATGGATTGTTCGGATTATTCGCATTCGGTGTATTTGGATATATTCGCGCGTATAACTCGCGTTAAAAGGCCGTTGATTCGCCGTGTGCTATTTACCACGCGGTAAATACACCTAGCGCACATATCGAACTGTCGAAATTGAATTTGCACGGGAGCATCGCATCGGGACACGCGCGCGCCCGAATAACGAATCGCAACAATACCGACTTAATGCTAACGCAAACGAACGCACGCGCGAGGCCTCGCGAAATGCGTTAAATCCGCGAGTGAAGGCGACTCCACGTGGGGAAATGAGTCGAGACGCGCCGGAGGAAATTTCAGCCCGCTTGAAATGTTTAACGCGCACGCGAAGGAGAATTTTCTTCCCGATGAACGGACGGCTGAATCGCAATTTCTCCATTCGCGGCGAATCAACTTTCGGCCTGTTTCGCGCGAAAATTCGCGTACTCTGGCCTGCCTCTCTCCTCTCTCGTACGGCCCAATCTTGCTCCCCTTTCGTCTTGTGTTGCTCGTGTAGCCCGGGGGATTCGTGCATCCATCGGCCGCAACAGTAGCAACCAACGCAGATTAACGCGCCGTATTTGCGGTGTGGCCGAGCGTCGTTGCAAACTTGCGCGATCCCGGAATCCAGTTATTACGACGTCACGCGAAATTATACCCCCGTGGAAATTTCATCATCGGCGGCCGACATATACATAACATTAACGACGACGACTGTGTGTAAATAGCATTCAATAATAATGTTAATGCGCGCGAAATGACGAATATACGTATGTGTATGTGCGCGCGCGCGCGTGTGTGTGTGTGTGTGGACATATATACAGGGTGTCCTATTTTAAGTGTCCACCCCAAATATCTCTCTTATTTTTTATTTTAGAGAAAAATGGTTCAGACACGTTTTGTATGGTTTCGAGGGGGCCATAAGATGGTACCATTGATTTGACCTTGAAGAGTCATTTGAAGGTCACGTGAAGGTTACCTCAATTTTTTTAGATGGAATCCCCTATTTTTTATTACATATTCTTGTAGCTGACCTCGAGAGCTTTCCAAAACACTATAATCAAATGTCTTTTGGTGAAGTACTTTTCGAGTTCTAAAGCTCCAAATTTACGAAATTTTTATAAAAATACAAAATATTTCGTAAAACATTCACTTTCCGATCTTATCTTACATGATCCAACCAGTCAAGGCAAGATCCGAGCATGATCCAGCCAATCAAGGCAAGATCCGAGCCTTGACTGGTTGGATCATGGTCGGATCTTCCCTTGACTGGTTAGATCATGCTCGGATCTTGCCTTGACTGGTTGGATCATGTAAGATAAGACTATCGGAAAGTGAATGTTTTACGAAATATTTTGTATTTTTATAAAAATTTTGTAAATTTGGAGCTTTATGTAACTCGAAAAGTACTTCACCAAAAAACATTTGATTATAGTGTTTTGGAAAGCTCTCGAGGTCAGCTACAAGAATATGTAATAAAAAGTAGGGAGTTCCGTCTAAAAAAATTGAGATAACCTTCACGTGACCTTCAAATGACTTTTCAAGGTCAAATCAATGGTACCATCTTATGGCCCCCTCGAAACCATATAAAACGTGTCTGAACCATTTTTCTCTAAAATCAAAAATAAGAGAGATATTTGGGGTGGACACTTAAAATGGGACACCCTGTATACGCGTCATAATAAGTCGATCAACGCGGGCGGGCGTGCAGAATAAATACGCGCGTGCCGACGTGTGAAAACATATCGCAACTGGTGAAAATCACCGCGCGATTGGCGTTTGACGATTACAATCGCTTTAATTCAATCTGCTACATTCGCCTTTCCCGATTTTCCGCGAATCGCCGCCGGAATGATCGACATTCAGATTTTCCGTCTGGATGTGTCGTTTGAGTCACAGCGCAGGACGCCGGACGGAAAGGCAATCTAATTTTACAATTAATGTCAATGTCACGCGCACATACACACAGACAAGGAAACTTTTATCGATCTACCACGATTATATTAATACGTATTATATTAATGTTTTCGTTATGTATTATATATATTCTGCCTTTCGTTAATATTATTCGTTTTACCGGAATCTTTACAATTAGCGTCGATATTGCACACAATGAAACTTTATTTATTGACCTATCACGGTTATATCAATCTTTCTCTTTATCTTGTGCTTGAACGTTTATATTATTATTACATTAGTATTCCACTTTCGTTGTATATCAATGTCCTAATTATAATTAAAATATTATATTAATGCGCTCTCTCTAATTTCATTATATATTCTGTATCTTCGTCGCTGTTATTCATCTTTTGTCGGAATTTTGACATTAATCTCCTTCAAGATTGACACTAATTGCAAGACATCGTCTTACCTCCTCCTCCTCCTCCTCCTTTCCTCTCTCTATTACACCGTACTATATATGATTCTCGTCAACATCGATGAATCCTCGCGATAAATAAAGATACACACACACACACACACACGCATCTATTTTATAAATATAATTTTTTAAATATATACGATGCGCGCATTTATATGTCGGTTAAAATGCGAGAAAAATGCTAAAACGCGCGCGGCCCACAACCGTGAGAGAAATATTTCCGTCTGCATGCGTGTAGGACGAGCTGGGCTAAACGATAGAAGGTATACAGGGTGTCTCGTTACGTCACTTGGCGGATTTCTCCTGCAACACAACTCGATTTCTAAGTTTGCGACGTAACTCGCCAATTTGCGACGTTAAATATTTTCACAGGCGAGTCCCTCCGATCGAAATTCCTCGTTCCAATTAGTTTCCGAATTAGTTGAAAAGCGCACGGCTCCCCGCTGCCCCTTCGGCACACGAGATTCAGCACAAGCCTATTTCGTCCCCTCGAGCGCTCGTAACTCGACAATTATCAGCGCTGCGATATCTCCGTCGAAAGGAAAGAGAAATCCGAGATCTCGTCCCCCGACACACTCCATTCGAGATTTGAGGACTACTGCCGCAACGACCGGACACCCTGTGCACCGCAGTGACATTCCTCTCGTCGCAAGCTTCTCGATTCTCACCTTCTCGATTCTCCGTCTCGGTCTTTCTTCTATTTCGATACAATCCGGATTAAAATCGAATCGGTATATTTATTTGCGACAAC